GATATCTTCAAAACCGATAATCGGTCGATACCTAGACTGTACAAAGAAAGTCTGGGTGGTGCTACAAAGTGAAAAAAACAATGATCGAAGCCGTGGCTGGGCTGGACACAGCAGTGCCACATGAGCTTCTAGTGAGGTGACTGTTTACTAGAGTGAGGTAAAACAAATACTTGCGTGGGCCACACTAGGCCAAGACCAATTTGTTTGGAGTTTATTCAGTTTGTGTTGATGACCTTTGAACTGGAAGTAGATGGTTCTGTACTACACCAGACAGTCTCATCAGCCTGCATCTCGTCAGACCAATCACGGTAGGGTAAGGAAGGGGGGAGTCCCTTTTAAAGGTCCATAAGCCCCTCCCACAACTGCAGGTCAAGCCTTCCAATATATATATCAAATCAGGGCTTAAAATGTGAAATACTATGCTACTAGCCAGGCTTTAAAGGAACTATATAGTCACTAAAACACCTTTTAGCTTAATGAAGCAATGTTGGTGTAGATCATACCCCTGTAGTCTCACTGCTCAATTATCTGCCATTTCGGAGTTAAATCACTTTTGTTTCTGTTTATGCAGCCTTAGCCACACCTCCCGTGGCTGTGACTCAAAATATTGGTAAAGAACTGCATAGAAGGGTATTGGTATGCTAGAGCTCTTTGAGGGAGGTCCACAAAGCCCCCCCCCCCGGTAACAATCACGAATATGAATCCTCGGGCATCACAAGACAGGGTGTAGCATAACATACATTTATTATAGTCCAGAGGACAAAAATTTAATCCAACGTTTCAACCGTGTGTACTTAATGATGTTTATGACTCCCTAAGCCTGTATGAAAACTATGATTTAATTTTCAATCAATTTTTTTTATCTCCTGCTCTAAATTTGAACTTTAATCACACACAGGAGGCTCCTGTAGGGTCTAGCAAGCCATTAACAGAGCAGGAAAAAAGAAATTCTAAATTAAACAGAATGTGCAGTAAATGAAGTACAAACATTAGATGACTCTTTACAGGAAGTGTTTAGGAAGGCTGTGCAAGTCACATGCAGGCAGAGGTGTCTAGGGTTGTATAAACAAAGTAATTTAACTCCTAAATGGCAGAAAATTTAGCAGCGAGACTGCAGGGGCATGATCAATACACTATAACTGCTTCACGAAGATAAAAAATGTTAATCAAAATGAATTTCAAATTCAATACATAGCCAAACTAAGTCTGCTATACTTCCACTTCAGCTACTTTGTCCTTAAATGTGAAATTCACTGTAACTTCACTTTGAACACTCACTTTAGTGAGTAACCCTGTATATTGCATTTATCGCTAGGCTGCCTTGCAGGATATTTCTTCTGTAAGTTAATCCTCATTAAACAGATGGCCTGGAATGAGGTGGATTTCAGTTTTGTTCCACCTGTTTGGTCTCTGTTTAAAATAGGCCAATTTGCCTGCAAAGCTTCATTCTTATTACCATAAGGGCACTGTAGCAACATGTTTTTTAGCCACTATTGTCTTTCCTATGAGTCTTACATTTTAGAATGAATAGCTCTGAATGTTCTGCAATGTGTTTCCTGGACAGGGTTTTGCTAACAAGATAGCTAACTTGGTGACTCTTTTAAAGGGACACTATAGTCACCAAAACAACTACAGCTTATTGAATTTGTTCTGGTGAGTAGAATCATTAACTTCAGGCTTTTTGCTGTAAACACTGTCTTTTCAGAGAGAATGCAGTGTTTACATTACAGCCTAGTGATAACTTCACTGGCCACTTCTCAGATGGCTGTTAGAGATCCTTCCTGGGTCATGGCTGCATCTCTGAGATGTTGATTGGCCTGGGCTGTGTTTGAATTGTGCTGGCTCTGCCCCTGATCTGCCTCCTTGTCAGTCTCAGCCAATCCTATGGGGAAGCATTGTGATTGGATCAGGCCACTACTTCTGAGATCAGAGGTCAGAGGAAGTTCACAGGCAGAGGCAGCAGCTTCAGACTTGAATATAAGTTAGATTTTACTATCTTTAGGGAGGCAAAGGGGGCCGAGGGGGCTTTTATAGTAGTTTTAACACTATAGGGTGAGGAACACAAAGTGTTCCTTTAAGTGTAAATTATGTTAAAATCTTCTGTAATATAAGCATAATTAATAGTTTCATGCTTTTATTTGCAGTGTTGCCATCTCTCTGGAAGCAAAGTTGAATTTGCTGCATAATTACATGACGGTCACCTGGCTGTCCCTGCCCTGTGAAACCCAGGTATGTGAGTTCACTCTGTTTTCTGTGCAATATGGGGAAACATCAGACAATGGGTGGTATAATCCTGTATACAGTATGTTCGAAGATTAAATATGTGCTTAGGAAAATATTTATATGCTATATATCTAATTCACCATTTGTTGGTTCCGCAAAATAGAGCATAAGGTTCTTGTTCCCTTTCTATCAGACTGCACTTTATAATCTCCAGTCCTTCTGTAAATCATTTTAAGTATAGTAGTCTATACAGTACACAAGTTGTAATTGCTCTTAAATGTTGCTTGCCTGCTTATAAATCTATTTCATTATTTGCATAGTAGATCAAGGTGACTTTACCAAATTTCTCATTGAAGGGACACTACAGGTTAATGTAGTGTTTCTGGTGTCATTAGCCTGTCCCTGCATGCTCAGCAATGTCAGAGGAAAGGCAGTGTTTGCATAGTAACATCTGTAGTGAAGGTTTCTCTGACAGCAGCTAGAAGGACTTCATGGACCAGGTCGTACAATACTTGCAGGACCTTCGTTCAGGTTCTCCACGTTCTGCATTGAGACGCTAATTGTTCCCCATAGAGATGCATTAATTTATGATGCTGATTGACACAGTGTGGCATATTGCTGCACATGCGCATTAGCCTCCCAAAGGAAAACATTGAATTGGCTGAGATCCTTACAGATTGATAATCTCAGCCACTGTGGTGGGGCCAGCCGTGGTGAACCCAGCACAGAGATAAGGAAAGGCTAAGTTGCTATACCTTTTTTAACTCCATGAGGGGGCCATTTTAGTGTTATGAATTTGTTTGTATTCCCAATGCTACAGTATTCCTTTATGATTTGTAATCTTGTTAAGTTAAATATCTTAGTGGAATCCAAAATGTGCCTTGATGTTGTTTTGGCGTGCCCTACTATCCTGTGGTTATCCTTGTGTTAAGAAAAATCATTAATTATTGTTCTGTTTCTTATGTTTAATAGGCACCACTTGCCCAACCAGAATCTCCAACTGCCTCAGCTGGAGATGACGCTCGCTCAGCTGCCGAATCCGGGGAATCTGACAAAGAGTCTGTGTGCAGCAGCTCTGCAAGCAATGGGGGCAGCAAGGGCGTAAAGGAAAAGGACAAAGAGAAAGAACGATTAAAAAAAGAAAAAGAGAAAGAGAAGAAGCGGGCGGATTCTGTAGCGAACAAGCTAGGAAGCTTTGGAAAGAGCCTCGGCAGCAAGTTGAAAAAGAACATGGGAGGGTTAATGCACAGCAAAAGCGTGAAGGCTGGCGTAAGTAACGGCCAAGGGGACACACTGGAAAAGAAAAAGAAGAGTTCTTTGAAGGGCAGGAAAGGAAGCAAGGAAGAAGCTTTGCAGGGCGATGTATCAACTTCGTCTGAGAAGATCAACTCTAGCAAAGCGCCAACAGACAAAACACAGGGTGATCCTTACAAGTACAGCAGCGATGTCAAGCTCAGCCTGAGCATCTTGCGGGCAGCCATGCAGGGCGAGCGCAAGTTTATCTTTGCCTGCCTCCTTAAAACCAGTGACAGGCATCCTTACCAAAAGCAGATGATTCAGCGGTATCTTGCCGATGCAGAAGAAAGATTTTTGGCTGAGCAAAAGCAGAGAGAGGCTGAAAAAAAGGCCATCATGAACTGTGGCACAGCAAAGAGGTTGGAGCAGGATGTAGTAGAACCAAAAACGGATGATTCGCTCTCTCTGCCTTCGTATTCCCAAGTAACTAACAATTATGGGGTACAAGGGATGGATTATGGACCAGGTTTCAAAGGTGCGTTACCTTCCAGTTACTCTGGTGGTTTTACAATCCCCCGACCTTCCATAGTAAACACAGCTGAGAGTTCGCACCCTCACAGCTACCAGGACAGTCGGAGGCAGGTTGCCGGGGGTTCTTGCAACAACCTGCCTTCTTACGCCACACTTCCTCGACACTGCATGCAGGCTCGGCCTCATCCATACCAGTCCAGCTCTCCTCATATGGGCAGGCTTCCACCCCTTGAGACAGACTTGCCTCCTGTCTATCCTGTAGACGGTGACCAGACGCACTGCATAACACACAGCAACGGCTACAAAGAGTACCCGGATCCCAGCACCCTGCCGCGGGCTGCGCCGTCGGATGCAAAGACACGGACATTATATAACGTGCAGCAGACCAAGTGTAAGCAACTAAACTGCACTTTTTATGGACATCCAGAAACGGGAAACTACTGCTCCTACTGTTACAAAGAGGAACTTAGGAGGAAAACCCGTGAAAAAGAGGCTTTAATACATAGATTCTGAAGAATCCTACTCTACTTGGTTTTGACTTAAAATCTATAAAGCGTTGGGCAGGGCCATAAAGGGAAGGATGCAATATATACTTTCCAACCTTCTCCTTGGAGCGTCCATTGGGTTGTCGATCTCCTCAACACTACCACGTAGTAGTTCAGGAAATCAGAATGTTAAAATAAACCAAGACAGGTTTTTAGAAAGAGAGGAGGTAGCACAGAATGTCTGTTATGTGAGTAACCTTTTTAGGGAAGATGCGCAGTTTGGTATTTTTGTGACTGTCAACCACATCTCCAAAAAAAAAAAATTTTTTTTTTTTTTTAATTCTTTATTTTTGAGCTCATAGTGAATTACAGGCTTAAGCAGTGACTTGTGCAATACAATAAATCATAGTAAACAATTGGCATAGGTAGTCATGAGATGCTACGCTTTTTTTTCTTTTTTTTTGTGATCGCAAGATAGAAACATGAGTATGACAAGAAATTACATATTAATGATGAAAAAGGTACAAACATTTGGGTTTCATACTAAGCTGATTAGAAGGGAAAGAGTATATGAACAACAGGCTATGACATCTGGTTATGCAAGCGTAACCCAGTGAGAACACCTGGTACTTCTTAGCGACATGGCTTACATGTTACACAGTGCGTATGTGCTGTGTACTGGTGCGATGGGGGTCTGCCATATTGGCATGTGCCCTCAAGCTAGTGTGTGCTTGGAGGTGAGCACTGAGTTTGCCTGTCGGCTGTACGTTGTAGGTTAGCATGCGTGAGGTTAGGTAAGTAGTATAGCAGGTAGACTAGTGCTATTGGCAAGGCCTATTTGCTGACAGGCAGTGTGGTCGCTGAGCTGGTGTTATGAATAGGTAGCATGTGGTGATGAAGGTGAATACAACTTTTGCACATCAGAAAGTATTACTTTAAGCTTGAAAGTCACTGAGGTCCAGAGCTGTGTGTGATTATGCCTTTTGCTCCCCATGTTGATCAGTCCTGTTCATGCTATATATCAGGTCTAAGCTGATGGACAATGGACCTGGCGCTGGCATTTCTGGAGGCTTTGTGTAGAGTGACCCTGTTAACTGATCTCTTGGGAAGCAGCTAGTACTTGTTGGTGGGTCGTTGGAGGCTGCAGGAGCAGAGGTCTTTGTGGGGATATCCCTCCAGCCCCAGGCTGTTGCGTAGGCCTGCATCTCGGTGCCATGAACTCTGCAGCTTCTGGAGCCTGAGTTTCCTCCCCGTATGGGAGTAGTGGAGGGCCTGTTGGACTTTGGCTGCTTGTGGCATTGGAGCCTCCGTGAGTGTGGGCGATGCTTCCGGGTCTTCACCCTTTTGGCCTCCAGCCCGAGTAGGCTCCGTGATTTGGGGAAGTGTGGGTCATCCAAGGGTGCCTCGCTTACCTGCTGTCAGTGGGGTTCTCTGTGCTGCTCTCAAACCGTCTTAGTTTTGCCCAGAAGCGTCAAAATATTTAGTTCAGGCGCTGTATGGTGTCTTGATAGATTGGTGCTTACGGGAGCAGATTCAGCATGAGCGGTGTGTTATCAGCCGCTATCTTAGGGGTGCCGCGTGGGCGATAACACTGGCTTGTCATCGTTCCAGAGATCGGTGTGGGCTGACTGCTCCGGACACACCGTGCGGACCGGGATATCCACCGCCGGTCCGGGAAGGGTGATGAGTAGTTTGGAGGTTCCCACTGCAAGGTCGCCCGTGAGGAGAGCGGTCACCTCTCCCCGGCAGGGTCTCGTGTAGGCCTTTTTGTGCAGGTGCTGGTTCCCGGTCAGTGTCAGGTTAGTGCTTGGTGTCTGGCTATTCGCCGGGTGTCCCAGACTGGTCTGTCGCCCTCCAGGTGCAGTACGTGCTAGTTTGCTGGGGTTTTTGTCCCAAATCGTGCCGATTTAGTCAGGAGCTCAGTCTCAGCGTGTCCATGCAGCCTGGAAGCCAGGCTCTGCCCCCAAATTCCAGGGGGTTTTTTTTTGGTTTTTTTTTAAAGGTCATAACTTGTACAATTGCTTCCTTTAAGGGGTTAGAGAGAATGCATTAAAGAACAGTGAAACACATAGCAAAGGAGCCATAACTGGTATCAGTCACAACCACACATTTCCATTATGTCTTTTTATTCATGTTTAAAACTTTAGATCTGCACGATCTCTCTTAAGTATTGTAGGGATTTCCTCATCCTTCCAACATTTAACTGGATGGAGTCCTCATCACACCAGCAGCAGAAGCAGCACATTATCCATCAAAAGCTTCTGCTTTCTTTTTCCTCATCCTTGGCAGGTTTTTAAGCTCTCTAAGTGATGAGAAGAACATGACTTGCTGCTTACTCTATCTTCCCAAAACCCACATCTCCACATTTGTATGACTGCCTCTATATATAGCACTTTAGGTAGGAAAATATTAATATTAAAAAGAATATACTTTTATGTTTGTACCTTTCTTTTTTTTTTTTTTTTTTCATAATTAAGCCCTTAATTGTACTGCCATATCTTCCATCAGAAATGGAAACTGCTGAGTGTTCCTGGTTTGCTAAAATGTCTGAAGGCCACTCTAGATCAATGATAACATTTTCTGCGTTAAAAAACTGCTTCTGGGAAATGTAAAGCCTAGTATAAACACTCTGTTTATCCCCATCCTTATTTTATCATTTATAACTTGTATCTGTTGGAAGGAGGAGGCATAAAGTAATTTAGCAATTTCCGTCCAGTAGTGAATGTACCCCCTCTGAGAGAATGATCTTCATCAATAAACAATGGCTTGCAGTGCTCTGGTTAGTAAGTTAGCGTCCTTAGAGTATTTGTGTGAACTTGATCACATACCTTTCAGCGTCCTTTTCTACCTTTCTATTTATATATATTTTTTATATATTACATCTCACTCTTAACCTAATCAGAGCAGAATTTAGCCGATTCTTTTATTGTCGGCCCTGACTTTCTCATCATTGTTTTTCTGCCTAATAAATCTTGTCACTTTCCATTAAGTCATAATTTGTGAGAAAGAAAAGGCACTTTATTGAGTCCAGTTTCCAATTCCTCTATTGTGGCCTAAAAATGATGTATTTATCTCTCCTATAAACCCACATTCTGAACAAAGCCAACTATGGAAAGAAAAGGGTCTCATTAATATTTTACTAAAATGGCATGACTGTAGAGCAGGCACTCATTTCTTTGAGTCTAATGCCTTTTTGTAGTTTACGTTTTATTTTTGGGAGGGGGAATGTTTTGTTTTTTTTTCCTAAATTTTTTTTATTTAATCTCCTATTCCAAGTCAGACTGTTAGACTGTATGTGCTAGAGGTTGTCACAAACATGAGTTAATGCTTTGAATTACACAACACTGCCTCCCATACGACCATGTGAATTTTAAAGAGAAAATATATTTTAAGAGACGGTCCATAGAGCAATAATCTTTTACTTCACCCTCTTTGCTCATGCGCACAAAAAGTGTTTAACCGATTTGTTAAAGTAAGATTTTGACGCCAGCATCTATTGCGCCTGTCTTTAGTCTAGAAAGGAATTAATTTGGGTTTTTCATCTGCTCCTCATAATGCTGTTAACCTGTTTTATATTTGACTTGTATTTTCTACACTACCTCTGTTGGGCTCGCTATATATATTTACTATACATGTGGCTTAACGTAGATATTCATTGAGAAAAAAGAAGATATACAAATAGCTATTTTTGATATCCTCAAGGAAAACTAGTTGAAAATTCTATATTTTTGTTTTGTTCAGTTTTTTTCTTTTTTCCCTCCCTTTTATTGTTTGGATAATCTGATAACTAACTTAGTGATTTAAGCAAGTCAATTGGGTGTATATGAATGCCTATAACAGTAATGACTGCCATCTGCTGTTATTTATAGGTTTTCCAAAGCATGTGAGATATTGCTTGTATCTTGGACAACTTAGCCATACGAATACCGTGTAAATATGGGCTCTACGTACTGTTTTATGCTACGTGTTAACTGCTTTTTTTATTTTTTATTTTTTTTTATTTATTTAAACTTTGTTTAAAATGTGAGTCATGGTGAAAATGGTAAATATCCAATCAGACTGCGATTATTTTATTGTCCAAGTTCATTTCTATATCCTCAACACTTGGTGGGCCCAAAAAACATATAAACAGTAAAATCAGTATGATTATTGGCCTAGTTCCTACTGAGTCTGGTCACAGGTGTAAAATATTTTTTTTATTTTTTATATTTGTTTTTCCATTCTTTTTCAATACATTATGTATAAAATGTATTAAAAGGGCGTAATTGCCAGCCTGGTGTGCTCTTTTAAATATTCTAATGAAATCCAGGAGAAGGGAATCCTTTACAGACTAAAACACAGCAGGGTGATTGGCTATTTATATTATTACCATAACCACAAGACTATAAATTGTCTCTTGGCACTTTTTATTCGTGTTTGTATTCTAACCAACGGCACATCATTTCCTTTTTAAGTAAAACTGCAATATTCAGCTTTGGATCAAAGCAGAAATGTGCTGTTGCAATGCTTTGGGATGTGCACAGGAATCAGATTTGTGTTTGCTGAATTAAACCGGCCTTAGAGACCAGCTGAGGGGTGCCTTCGAATGGACACAGCCACCGATACTAAAAAAAGTAGTGTTAGTTAATCCAACTATCCTTATAAAACCATTTGGCATAAGCCCCACAAAATGTAAAGGATTAAGTGGGTACACAATATAGCTAGTTAAGGTGGGTGTTTTTAAGGTTCTCAAGTGTTCGTATACCTATTGCACACACTGCATTTATCTACATTCAACTACAGAGGCTAAAAATCCAACAAGAAGCCATTTACAGTGCTGAGGATGTCTTGGGTAATTTGCACGTCAGTTTTTTTTTTTGCTTTCTTTTCTTTTTTTCTTTTTTTTTCCTTTTTTTTTAAGCTAGTGAACTTTTGCTTAGTCTTTTTGTATTAAAAAATGTACATATGAAAATGTAGGTATTGACCTCCTGTAAACTGATAGTTGCACTCAGAAATCCAAAATGGCGGAGGTAAAAATGAGCGGTATTTGCACAAACCTTTCTAATAAAAGCACAAAGCGTAAACGTGCTTCATCATAACTGTAAAACAAGTGGTGTTTGGTTCTCCAAAAAAAAAATAAAAAAACGCTTTGAAGCAGTGTCCCCAAACGAGGCCAGGTTAGAGCAAATCAAAGCGTCTCCAAGGTTTTTCCACAGGTGAGATTTTTTTTTCCCTAGGTATGGGATTGGCTTGAAGATCTGCTTATTTAAAACAGTTGTTTATGACCAGTGGTTGAAGTGCCTTGGAATATTTAAAACGGATATAAGGGTGGTTTTTGTTGCTCAAATTTTTGCAGCTGAGCCTGTGATGTCATCGTTACTTCATTATTCACAGAATGGCAATAAGCGTTGGCACAGACACACAGGGGGTAACATGCCATCTTTTTTTGTCGTAGGGCTCAATACTTTATACTAATTAACTAATCCGACCATAACATTTATATTCTGTTTTGTCTCTTTTCCCATAATATTAAACACTGGGGGGAGGGGGGTATCAAATTGGTTTGTAAAAGAACTGTGTAAAAATGTGTATATTTTGGAAGTGGTTTGTCTGCTTCTTAGTGCATAACTATGCAAATGAGTTGGATGTTAAACTTTATCGCTGATAACCTCATGGGTGAAGGCAAAAGTGTACTTAAAATAAATTATTCTCAGTTGTCATCAATCTCCTTATGTGTGTCCTGTAACTGTGACCGGTTATGTGTTTTTCCTGTAAGACAGTCCGAAAGATTCATTTGAAAGAGGTTTTGGTTTTCCAAAGAATCGAATATCCAGGGGTGTGACCGCTTTTTCAGAAAGTCAAAATGAAAGGATTTTGTTTTTTTTTGTCTCCGTTATTGAACTACATGTCCCTCTTACCGAACCGATTTAAAGGAACACGTAAAATCTTTTTTAAGTTTTAAATTGTGTTTTTCGATTTTTCGAAGCATAGTCTCCCAATGACCTTCTAGTTATCCAATTTATAATCCTAGGACTTCAAATAATTTGATATCCTGGACTTTCTTTTCCGTGTGATAAAGAACTAAAAGGTGATTAGGAGAAGATGCTTTTAAAGATCGAAAGTATTTTAATTGACTAATATTACATTTCCTAATTTTCTTAATGATGACCTCAACTGCGTCTTAAAAGTGCATTAGACCTGTGCACAGTGGACATACTACTCAATTCAGCTGAATCACTTTGTCTGAAAGTTTGAGTAGTATGACCGTTGTCTGAGGCAGACCAGCTCATCCGAATATCGTCCATCAAAATATTTGGGTAAACCATTAAGACAAACCAAACTAGCGTGAAAGTGAGGCAATCCGTGTATTGCAGATTATATACATAAAATATTTTGTTTTGGTTTTGCATTACACTGGTAGGTGCATTTTCCCACCATTTGGGTCACAGGTCTAGTGAGAAACCGTAAGCAATAGAGGGAGGAAAGAGGCGGATCAGTAAAAAATAAATCTATATATAGTAATCTGTTATACATATTTAAAATTCCTTTTTTTCTTTGTTGTTCACTTGATCAATTGATCTATAACTAAAATTGACATATCTTTATTGTTTTAGCACCACAACAGACAGAACTCCAAATCACAAATCAGTCGAACATGCTTGCCCGTTGTGTGATGCGTTTGTGTATAGGTCCATATGGAGGTTCAGAGTTCTGATAAGCCCGCCAATCAGTCAAAATCCAGACTAATTGCACTTTGGCTGGAAACAAACGCACAATTCTAAAAAGCAGTTTCTCAGACTTTTCATTTTTCCTTTTAATTTTTAATTTTATTTTTTTTAAACTCGAGTCCATATCTAAAAAACATTTTTTCTCATACAAATATACACTGCTCAAAAAAATAAAGGGAACAGTTAAACACAATGTAACTCCAAGTCAATCACACGTCTGTGAAATAGCACAGTCAGTAAAAAATGGGGATAAAACATTTTTTAGATACATAAATGAGAAAAGAAAAGTAAAACAAGGATTAGTTAAATTAAAAACAAAAGAAGGCAGGTATGTAGAAAAGGATAAAGGTCTAGCTGACTGTCTCAATGAATATTTTTGTTCTGTATTTACAGATGAAAATGAAGGAAAGGGACCTCAGTTGAAAAAAAGGATAAATGAGTCATTTATTACACGTGAGTTTACAGTGGAAGAGGTTCTATTTCAACTGTCAAAAGTAAAGACAAATAAGTCAATGGGACCTGATGGAATACACCCAAAGCTATTAAAAATCATTGTTAAATCAAACTGTCCACTTATGAAGCAACACTGAGTGACAATCAATTTCACATGCTGTTGTGCAAATGGGTTAGACAACAGGTGGAAATTATAGGCAATTAGCAAGACACCCTCAATATAGGAGTGGTTCTGCAGGCAGTGACCACAGACCACTTCTCAGTTCCTATGCTTCCTGGCTGATGTTTTGGTCTCATTTGAATGCTGGCGGTGCTTTCACTCTAGTGGTAGCATGAGACGGAGTCTATAATCCACACAAGTGGCTCAGGTAGTGCAGCTCGTCCAGGGTGGCACATCAATGCGAGCTGTGGCAAGGTTTGCTGGGTCTGTCAGCGTACTGTCCAGAGCATGGAGGCGCTACCAGGAGACAGACCAGGAGGCGTGGAGGAGGGCAACAACCCAGCAGCAGGACCGCTACCTCCGCCTTTGTGCAAGGAGGAGTACTGCCAGAGCCCTGCAAAATGACCACCAGCAGGCCACAAATGTGCATGTGTATGCTCAAACGGTCAGAAACAGACTCCATGAGGGCCCAACGTCCACAGGTGGGGGTTGTGCTTACAGTCCAACACCGTGCAGGACGTTTGGCATTTGCCAGAGAACACCAAGATTGGCAAATTCGCCACTGGCGCCCTGTGCTCTTCACAGATGAAAGCAGGTTCACACTGAGCACATGTGACAGTCTGGAGATGCCGTGGAGAATGTTCTGCTGCCTGCAACATCCTCCAGCATGACCAGTTTGGCAGTGGGTCAGTAATGGTGTGGGGTGGCATTTCTTTGGGGGGCCGCACAGCCCTCCATGTGCTCGCCAGAGGTAGCCTGACTGCCATTAGGTACCGAGATGAGATCTTCAGACCCTTTGTGAGACCATATGCTGGTGCGGTTGGCCCTGGGTTCCTCCTAATGCAAGACAATGCTAGACCTCATGTGGCTGGAGTGTGTCAGCGGTTCCTACAAGACGAAGGCATTGATGCTATGGACTGGCCCGCCTGTTCCCCAGACCTGAATCCAGTTGAGCACATCTGGGACATCTCTCTCCATCCACCAACGTCCCGTTGCACCACAGACTGTCCAGGAGTTGGCAGATGCGAGATCCCTCAGGAGACCATCCACCTCCTAATGCAAGACAATGCTAGACCTCATGTGGCTGGAGTGTGTCAGCGGTTCCTACAAGACGAAGGCATTGATGCTATGGACTGGCCCGCCCGTTCCCCAGACCTGAATCCAGTTGAGCACATCTGGGACATCTCTCTCCATCCACCAACGTCCCGTTGCACCACAGACTGTCTAGGAGTTGGCAGATGCGCGATCCCTCAGGAGACCATCCACCACCTCATCAGGAGCATGCACAGGCATTGTAGGGAGGTCGTACAGGCTCGTAGAGGCCACACACACTACTGAGCCTCATTTTGACTTGTTTTAAGAACATTACATCAAAGTTGGATCAGCCTGTAGTGTGTTTTTCCACTTTAATTTTGAGTGTGACTCCAAATCCAGGCCTCCATGGGTTGAAAAATCCATCCATTTTTTAAATTTTTGTGTGATTTTGTTGTCCGCACATTCAACTATGTGAAGAACAGAGTATTTCAGAAGAATATTTAATTAATTCTGATCTAGGGTGTGTTATTTTTGTGTTCCCTTTATTTTTTTTGAGCAGTGTATATACACATACTGATATACATGCGTTCATTTAAAAGGTTTAAGTTTGGTAGAACTTGGCTTAAAAATCCATCTGTTTTCAGTACACTGGAGGGAGCTGTTACCTGCTGCATACTCACTTTCTGTTGGTACACTAGATTTCTGCAGCACACTGCCTGCTTGGCAGATCAGTTTCCATAGCTCATCACACTTCCCGCTTGGCAGAGCAGTTTCCATGGCTTGTTTCACTTCCCGCTTGGCAGAGCAGTTTCCATGGCTTGTTTCACTTCCCGCTTGGCAGAGCAGTTTCCATGGCTTGTTTCACTTCCCGCTTGGCAGTGCCGTTTCCATGGCTTGTTTCACTTCCTGCTTGACAGACCGGGTTTGTTTTCCTGGCACTGGAGATTCCCTTTAATGAAGCTTTTATTTATTTTCCAAATTCCCTTAAGTGAAATGTCAAAAAGGTTACATACATGCATTGTTCGGATAAGTAACAGATAAGCATTGTGCCCCCAAAGGGAATATCTGTGTTTTAGTAATATCGTTTAACATTGTTAAGATCTGGGGGGCTCAAGGGATTTACAGTGAGGGAGTGCAAAAATAGGCTATATAGGCAGCTGCCTGTCAGGGTCTAGATTTTTTATTTGATAGGGTAACCCTGTCCGAGTAAGAGCTGTCTCCTCGCGTTGTGGACCATTTGTCGGATGTCGCTAGCCCATTTATTAGGTGGCGTCGGTGTATGTGCAGCAGGGTCCCCTTGGTGGGAGGCTCCCGGTCTCCAGGTTGGGGTCTCAGCCCATGGAACTTGACCACAATAAATGTCTAAATTTTGGTTATCATTCTCATCATCATGGGTCTATTTATCTTTGGGTCCATTTCCAGTTCTATCCCTACCTATGTGTTGTGTGGTTGGTTAGGTAATTATCAGGTCCTCATGACCTTGTAACAGTCGGGCAGCCTCAACTCTTAAGCCTTGGTGGCAATGGAACGTAACCAGCATCAAAACCATTAACATTTAAGTATAAAGAAATCATAACCTATATACAATTAAATAGTGGAGATCATTCTCCTGTTCCCCAGAAGGTTTGAACTTGGAAATAAGATTAATTTTGTTTAAGGAAGGTCAACCATGGCTCCCAGATTGTGGAGTATTGTTCGTATTTATGGAGTAGGTGAGTGCATCCATAATCCTACCCGATTCCACTCTTTGGATCTATTCCCTGATGGTGGGGAATGCAGTGTGTTTACAGTTAGTGGGTATCAGTAGGTTGGCAGCAGTGGAGAGGATTTATTAAGAGGTGTTGATGTTTGACAATTGGGGACAAGAATAGCATTACCTCAGGTGTTTTTGGTATGTGGGTTCCTGTAATCATGTGTATCAAGGATTCTATTTTTCCCCATTATGTTTGTATGGTGAGGCACCTCCACCAGATGTGTGCCTTGAGTCTGTCTGCATCTCCAGCACGTGTTAGGGGGAAAAACGGTTGATTTGTGTTGGCGTATAATGACATTGTGCAATACGTTTGTAATTACCCTCACGGGTGTAGTTGCTTATGGATGTTTTCAAAATGTTAACAAAAATACGCGACTAGTCACGTCGTGGTAGGGTGATGTTGAGTTCCTCCGCCAAGTGCTTAATAAAGCCTGGTAGGGGTTAGTCTGGTTGGTTCTGTTGGAGTTTATATAGATAGGATAGATGTTTGGATTTAATAGTGTGATGTGAGCATTCTGATTTAAATGGAGTGAATGTTCTGTTGCCCTGCAGTAGATCAGGGGTGGAGGAGATGAAATGAGTTTGTTGAGTGTATTGGAACCGGTGATTGGTAGTTGGTCTACACGCCTTTCTCGTTCAGTACAGCTCCCAATCTGAGTAGTTCGTCAGGGGCTGCAAACGTTTGAAAGACTGTATGTTGGGCTCCTGGTGGGAAGAGTGGGTTACCCGTGATTGGGTTTAGGGTTGAGG